TCAAGACTGCATCAGTTCACCTAAGGATCTTTAACAGACATCAGTCTTTAGATCGGAATCAGGACAGTGTCAGTTCACCTAAGGATTGTTAACAGACATCAGTCTTTAGATCGGAATCAGGACAGTATCAGTTCACCTAAGGATCTCTAACCGACGTCAGTCCTTAGACCCGAATCAGGTCAGCATCAGTTCACTTACTGGCTGCGAAAGCCTTTACGAATTTGTTTCATTTGTTGTTGTGACGCATTTTTGTTCAATTACACCATTAATTCTTTCAATTTTGTCGGTTGTTCTGAGGTACACTTGATCTCTAAAATCTGGCCCACAAATAAAATCCGGTGACGTAAAGTCTGGGGAACGCACACGGCATTCAATGGGGCTTCTCCGTTCAAGCTTTCTGTTTGAAATATTCTCATTAGGATATGGAGGTGCTCCGTCCTGTTGGAAAGAAAATTCACGCTCTTCACCAGTCCTCCGGGATGTGTGGTAAAGCAGATTGTTCCAAAAACTTCAAGCATTTGAAACTAGTTTTACTTTGAAATGCTGTATTACGCTGAATCTCCTGTTGTTCCTGTCCAACAGGATTTTAATTCGATTAAATTTGCCAATTAATTTAAATATAGTTCAATCGCTCTAACAAATCCTTCCCAAAAACTATATATTGTGTAAACATTTTCCATGGTAAGATTGTGAAGCTTGTATATGCTCTTGGTTTTCCAGAGTATTGTCTTTAGATATTCATTCGATTCAAACTTATCCGATTAATTGTAATTCGCGTAACTGGATCTCCAAGGATTTTGCTACATTTTTATACATTCAATAGCATTTTAAAGTAATCCTTCATTTTGAAAAGTTAATATTAGTTCAATAAGAAGCGCCGTCTCATGTAGGAAATTACAACAAGGTTAAGGTTGGTCCAAGATGGTCCAAGCGTGGCTCAAGATTGTTCAAAATTGGCGATCAATATTAAATCAAGCATAGCAAAAGCATGGTTTGTCATTTCAGCCCAAGCCTATTTGGCAAGATTGGTCCACGACTACACCGCCAATGCTAATAATAACAATACTAACTCAAAATTGGGCAGCTAATATTGAGGAAAAGTCTGATGAACAATGGGCAGTCGATATTGTGTCAAAACTCCCATGGATCTCTAAGACACTCTCTGCGATATAGTCCTTGTATTTCTGCTACATACTCATTCTTCCAATACCATTTTTTTCTCTTTTAAAAAGTTAATCTTGGTCCAATCATTATTTCAAATTATAATAAATCAGGAAAAACGTGGCACTGATAGATAGAAAAGCGTCTCCTTAAAATGTCACATTGTATTCTCAAATCATCCAAACATAATACTTTTATTGCTAAGTGAGGATAAAATGTTCTTCCAATATAGTTTCCTAAAGGAAAATTGAGTTCTGGAAAGAATTCTTTTAAAGATCATGGACATTGTAGTGTATTTTGGAAAGATTGTTTTATTAATTATTCCTCTTATATATATTACTCAGATACATTATTTGTGTTTCACCAGATGCCTACTAGGCATACATATTTGACTACTTCTACATAAGGTATAAGTCGTATTTGCCCTTGAATGCTTCATTTCTTATTAACCTCTTGATAATGACAACAAAATTTCGCCTTCTCGTCCTATTTTGTATGGAGGTAATTATAGAAGCTCTCGGAGGGTTCCTAGTTCATACTTTCAGCCCCTCCATTTATAGCACATAAAGTTTTGATGTGTATAAAACGCACACATACACTCACATACTCGTCCGCAAATACACATATACGTCCCGCAGTATAATGTTTATTAGGTTTAAACGGTTTCTTGGTAATATCCATTCCTTTGTGTCCTGTCCTTCCTTCGATGAATAGAACTTTGTATAGTGGTAGATATTAAACAGCCTCCTTCGATCTTTGTCTTTACACCCATCCGTCCCGTCGCGACGCTGAAGACGACGCTCCGGATCGCATTCTCTTTCTCCGTTATAAGCTAAAACGTTCATAAGACAGAAAGAGAGTCACAGAATGTGATAAGGGAGGGAAGGGTTCTGATATGCTGCCGGTGGTGGTGCTGCAAGGGTGTCGACTGGTCTCCCCCCATAGTGTATTGTCGTCCAGCGGTTGTTTTGATTAAACAAACAATATTAAAGATACGGGGAGTTTCTTGTGCGAGAACGCCAAGAAGAACGGGAACGGGAATATACATATATATATATATGTGTGTCGGGATATTTATGTGTGTAAAGTTGTCCAAAGATTACTCGCTTTAATCTCGGGCGGCAAAGTTGGGGTAAATTCGCGCGTCGGACAATGGATTATGAATTATAGGAGAGCTGCTGCACGATCTCGTCGCCTTTTGTACCCCGTCTTACGACAAGGTTTATTACAAATTAGCATAAAAACATTATTTGATCGCGGCAGCGTCTTGCCAGGGAGTTTGGGAGTTTTGTAGCAACTCCAGCATTGCTGTTGGCACCACCGCCATCGCCATCACAAACCGCAAGATTCTGTTTCCTTTGTTGTACACGGCCAGCTTAATAACGATATTATTAAAATATCAATGGCGAGGGGTTCAGCGTCGTTGGCAAAAAGATACCTTCCCGGACTACCTTCCGGAAAGCTTTTGGTGGGCGAAGTTTGACACCATTAGTCACTTACTAAAATTTTTTTTGTCAAAAATTTGCGATTCCATAAACTAATGTCGCTCCAAAATTAGAAGTAAGAAACACAAGATGTTACTGTCATGAAAACACAAATTCTTAACGACTATGTGAAAAAAGACCCAAACAAAAATGTACCAGGCATGTACTTGGGGAAACATTAAGTATTTAAGACTTAAGGAGGTATTGAAAAAGCAAGATATTCTTCAATAAATGAGAGAGTAATGATCCACCTGAGAATGTACAAGGCTTCGGAAATAGTAGACAATATTTGGATGAAACATTGAGTATGTTGGGCTATTGAATATAGTAGAAATGCAAGGTATTTTTCAATAATGAACTGATAAGTGATCCAATTGAAACTGCACCTGACTTTGGTCCATTTTGCTATACTACCTGGCCATGAGTATCCCTATAAGAGTATGAAAAAAGCTAGGTATTCTTCAATAAAGGAAAAATTAATGATCGACCTAAGAATGTACAAGGGTTCGACAATAGTAGAAAATAGTTTGATGAAACTTTGAGTATGTTGGGCTAATGAAGGTACTAGAAAGACAAGGTATATTTCAATAATGAACTGATAAGTGATCCCATTGAGACTGTGCCTGGCTTCGATCCATTTTGTTAATAAGTGACTAAGCTTGCACCAGGCTTCCATCCATTTTATTATACGACCTGGGCATGGGACATGTCTGGATAAAACTTTATTTATTAAAGACTTAAGAAGGTTTTCGAAAAGCAAGGTATTCCTCAATTAAAGATATGTTAATAATCCACTTGAAAATGCAACCAGGCTTCGATCTATTTTATTAAACTGCCTGGCGTAGCTAATGGTTGGACTAATCTGTAAGTATGTTAAGCTAATGGAGATACTAGGAAAGCCAAGTACTTTTCATTAATGAACTGATATGAGTAATCCAATTGAGGATGTATTAGGCTTCTATCTATTCTGTTGTGCAATATGGTTGGATGAAACTTTATGTATCAAAGACTAGAGGAGGTATTGCAAAAGTATTTTTCAATGGACAACCGATACATGATCCAACTGAGAATGCATCAAGCTTCGATTTATTTTGTTATACTACCTGACATGCACATAGTTAACTTTCTTAAAATCAATTTTCCAAAAAGGGTACCGATACCCCAAAGAAGACATTACTAATAACATCAAATTTCATTTCGTTATTCTGGTTCGTTTTTACTCTGGAATAGGTACTTGGAGTTTAGAGAACCAAAAGTGACTTCTGGTGCGGTAAAGTCGTAAATTGTCGGAATCTTCTTGTCCGCTCCTTTCGATATATAAGGAAAGGACTTTAGTAGACATAAAGGGTTAGTTAAGATGAACGGTGCAGTAAAAAGGGGAGGTTGGGTTGGTTATTTACGTCCTCATCAGTTTACAATGACCCCAGCTCGAGGGGGTGCGAAACAAACACGGCAGAGGCGACGGTATACGGGTGGCGTTTGAATTGCACGCATGAATTTATGCCGATGGCTCAACCCCGTGCCTATATAAGATGAAGTAATGTCCTAAGAAACTTCGGAGAAGAAAGGTCAGAAGGAGAAAGGGGGAGAGATCCGAATACAAAGGAGACCACCGCATATACCAGCATCGGAAGTTCGGGCAAAGTCTATCCCAGTTCGCGGTTGCATGGCATAGAAAAAGATCCTAATATGTGGTAGTAAACAGAGGACATCTTGTACGGTTAAAGATATTTACTTTTGTTTTCCTAAAAAAGCAAGATATGTGCAAGAAAACTGATTTTTCGGCTCACTGTCATGACGTCAACACTGAGTCTGACATTGATTCTAACAGAATTTGTTAAGTGGTAGGAGTTCAGTTAAATTTTCTTTTTAATGAAATAATTTTATATCACAAGCCCCAATGATAATGATATCAGAATACAGTGTAAATGATGGTCTGCAAAACTGTTGAGATCCTACCAAAATCCACTCAGTATTTCTCCAGTTTTATTGGAACATAAAGACAGACATACGGGCCTCCTAAGAACTTTCAGTTACAGGTAAAATAAAGGTGTTCAAGATTTTCAGGAATTACACATTCATTTTGACATTTGCTTAGCATAATATTTTATTTCTACTAATGCTCTTTCTTTAAAACAATGCGTTCATATTTAATTAGGTATTTAACTTCATTGGGTCAAGAGAACACATAAATTAACTAAAAATTGCGTGGGCTATGTTTCATTTTTACAATCCAAGCTCTACTTTTGAAATGGCGCATGTCGCCATATTGCAAAAAATTCCTATTGACCATTGTTAGCAGAATAGTTCGAATGTGTGACATACTGTAAATGTAGTTTGGTTTGTAATCAGCTGTTAGATTTCGAGGTTATGTAAATTTTACTATTTTGTATTGTTTACTCGGTTACCGGTATGTCTTCGACGGACTATTTGAACATAAATGATCACAAAATTTTCAAAAATTTGCGTAAAACTTTACCGAAAAGTATCGATAAAGTGGAGAGACTATTAACAGTGAACGACGATATTTTATACACATGGGATTTTCAAGATAATTGTGTTCTAACCTTAAACATCAAAGCAGCTCGAAGTAAAGAAAAAGATAATGTTTCTCATCAGGTAAATACATTTACTACGTATGTGCAAATCGTATTTTTAGTTTATAGATTGATATAAGCAGCTATAAAGTTTTAGTTATAGGTTTGAGAATATACAGCATAAGCTCTTAAAAATTGTTGATTTTTATCATTGGTATTTGCTTGTATATAAAATTACAGGTGCAGTAAATGAAGTTTAATAACAAATGATGTTATTGTGGAAATTGATTAATAAAAAAGAAAGTGAAAATTAACTGTATGAAACAAACGGGTAAACATCTTTTACAGGCAACGGCCATACCACGTTGAAAACGCCAGTTCTCGTCCGATCACTGAAGCTAAGCAACGTCGGGCGCGGTTAGTACTTGGATGGGTGACCGCTTGGGAACACCGCGTGCTGTTGTCATATTTTTACTCGTCCAGCGGTTGTTTTGATT